ACTCGCGTAGAAGAGCCTCGACGTAACGATGATAGCAGTACACGGTGTATTGCTTGCCCCTGACGACGATGCCGTCGCCGCTGCTGAAGATGCCGAACCTGCCTTTGTGCTGCTGGAACGGGCTGCAGTCCCTAGTCACCGCTCGGCATCGTCTTTGTCAGCTGGCACAGCCTGGCGCTCACCTCCGCTCTGACCGGCCACGGTCTTCCCTGAGCTCTTGCCCTCGGCGACCTCGGTTGCCGCTTCGAACTTCGCCTTGCAGATGACTGCTTTGGGTCGGCCCGCTCGCTCTGCTACCAGCCATCACCTTGAACCCCCCCGCCTAGATGCCTAAGCATCATCGTAGCATGCCTAGGCATGGCCGTGTCGATGCCTCGGATGCGTTAGGCATCCGCATGGGCATGCCTACGCATGCATCGAGGGATGCGTCCATGGACGGTGCTGGGCGTAGCTGGGCGTAGCCGATGCCTCGGCATCGACCTGGTGCTGCCTGGGCATCGCGCTGGCGATGCCTCGGCGTCGGCAGGAGGGCGCGCAGGGTAGGCATCGATGGCTCAAGACACAGTCGGGGCGCTGAAGAAGAACCCTACTCGTTGGGGAGGGGCTCCGTGTTCCTTCATTGTTTAACAGCTTGCCTGAGGCTTTCCTTAGGTTTTGGATGGGAATCGAAGTTTGACTTTTGGAAAAATGGGGCCCCCGTTCCTTCTTTAGGGTTCCTTAGGTCAACGCCTCGACTCTACCAGAGCCCCTGGGCCGCGCCGGCGACTGCCGCTGCTGCCTGCTGGATCTCCGCGTCGGCCGGCGGGGGCGGAGCTGCCTCCGCTCGCCTGCCGAGTGGGGCCTCCGGGCGACGCCACGGCCGACGCCGCGGCCGGGGCCTGGGCGCCTGCCGGGGCGCCGGCCGTGCCCCTCCATCTGCCGTGTGCGGCTCGGCCTCGGCACCCGCTCTTCTTCTGATTATCATTCTTCTTATGTTTCTTATGTTTATGATTCGTCTTCTCAATTTGATTGTGCTTCGTAGTATTGCTATGAATACGATTACTGATTCGTCTTCGTCTTCTCCTTCGTTGTCGTCTCTGTTTCTCAATATTTTGTTTCCCTCGTCGTTCTTATCATTCGGATGCTTATGTATTTTTATTATATTACTTTGCGTGTTCTCCTTTAAGCGCTCGGCGACCTCCTTCTCGATTTTGGTGCACAGTGACATACCAGTACTGTATGTCCTCCTCGGAGGCGCGCGTCCGACCCGATCATATGGTATAGCCATCTTGTAGTATATCGTTTCGTTTCCCGAGCGTTTTGGCCAGAAAGCGCCCGCCATGACGAATATAACACAAGATTTATCGATGCGCGCATCGCTTCTGGGGGGGCGACGCACACATAGTATTAGTATGTTGGGGTGACGCCAAGAGAGAGAGCGCAGCTGCGTTGCCCGGGCTGGCGAACGCCGTCTGGTAGCGCTCGAGCTCCGCTTCGAGGGTTCTCAGCTGCTCCTTCTCGCTGTCCTCGCATCCCCACCCCTCGAAGTTGTCAAACCGCTCGCTGCGATCTTCCGCGAAAAAGCGGTCGTCTCATCGGCAACCGCGGACTTGGCTCCAGCAGGCGCCGCGACTCCCTCAGCTTTCGCGAAGGCCTTCGCTGCCTGCTTCTTCCCCAGCGCCGCCTTGGCCTCCTCCAGCGCCGCCTTCTGTTCCTTGGCCTCCGCATTATGCAGCTGCTTGCGCAGGCGGAGGCACTGTGCCACGAGCTGGGTGTACGAATGGGATGCCGCCTGCCGCACCGCCTCGGCAGCTAAGACTGCCAAGGGCTCAGTCGCCTGCGCCTTGACCTTCTCGACCTGCACGGCCTGCTCGAGCAGCGACTTGAGCCGCATGAGGCTCTTGTCTCTGGCGGTTCCTCCACGACCTGGGCTGCAGTTGCGCGGGTTGTTCTGGCCTCTCCCGTCGCTTCGGGCCGCTCTCTGTTCGCCGTCGTCCACGACAGCCACATCTTCCGAGAAGGTGACGGTCTTATCTGGAGACTTCAGGCTGGTTGAGACGAATCTCCTTAGTGCAGTTCGGGCGTTCACGATCCCTCTGTATGAGCCTGCCACTGTCCTCGCACGTTTTGCAATGGATGCAACGACTCCATGGCCTCGAGGGGGCCCGCACCTTGCTGCTGGTTCGCTGATACATGCTGCTAGAAAGAGAACTCTTCCCTGACATTTTTACGGTAGGTTTGTGAGGCGTTGGCGCGCGGGCGTTGCCATCGAGGGCATTCAAGGTTGAGTTCTGCGACGCGGAAGCACCGATTGGCAGGGTAACGCCATTGGACCCGACTGCACTCTTGACGCTTCGCGTATCCCCACCAGCCTCTTGTTGTCAATTAGTAGGCCCGCGCCCCGGACTTACGACTCGCCGCTTGCGCTCTCGCCTGCGGCCGCGACCAAAAACGTATCCTCACCAGCCCATGGTTCTGACGGCGGCGCCTGCAGCCCTTCCCCGCACCGTGGCTCGACCCCGTTGTGTGCGCTGATGGTCGGTCCGCCCATGTCGTCGGCGTTAGCGGGAAGTCTTGTGGTTCTCGTAGGCCCGATGGCCCAGATGCGTATGGTGTTGACTTCTCCATCGTCCGCCTGGTCCTTGTTCGTCTCAGTCGCCATCTGTGGTCGGACGTTTGCGAACCGCACCTTTCAACGGGCTTTGGTGTGCGACTTCGGTGGCGCTACCACCCGCACCTGCTGGGCCATGGTGGGCATCTTGGGCAGTCCGTGCACCGATTTGCCGTCACCTGGTCACACCTATGTGCTACTGCGCGCCATTCTGGGTGCGATCCAGCTTCGTTTGGCCAATTCACGCGCACTCAATTCGTTTACTTAGTGGTTTAGGCCTCCACGGTTCAGGCCACCCGGGCAGCCTCTCAGTTTGCATCGGTTGCCCAATTTTCTGCAGTTCAATTCACTCCCAGCAGCCTGCAGCCCCTGGCAGTCAGCAGCCCCTGGCAGTCAGCAGCGCGTCTGCAGCTCGGTGCACGTTAACAGCCCGTGGCAGCCTGCAGCTCACTGCCCCCTCCCCCTCGGCCCCTTTCCTGGTCTCGGCCTGAGTTGCGGCGGTAGGCCTGTTCGTGCTAGGTAATTTAGGACCTCGCGCGGCCCGCTCGGACCTTGACACGCCGTCGGCGCGCCCGCCTGCGGCTGGCTACAAAAAAATGCCCCCACCATCCCATCCAGAAACGATGAGCAGGGGAGTCGGTGAATAAAGGGCGGCAGGACGCAGGCAGGTGCGCAGCCGTCTTCGGGAACACAAGGATCACAAGGAACTTCCCGCATTGAAGCTTAAGATGGACACTGGTGCAAGCTACAATGGTGCTTCGATGGGGTGAGGGGTGTTTCGATGACTCGTAATGGCTCTTGCACCGATTTGTATCTTAAACTCGTGTGCGCTTCGAAACTCGGAGCCATCTTGGGGCTCTCTTGGGGCTCTCCTGTCTGCACGAACGAAATGGGCACGGAAAGAATGGGTACAATGTCCAACAGCGGATCTTGTTCATTCTGAACAGGACTCGCTGTCCACGCCGCCGCGGCCTGTGTCCATTCGAGACAGAAGGCCGCATACCCAACAGCGGCCGCTGTTGGTTTGGGACAACATTTGTTGTTGGGCCTTGTACCCGTTGCGGGCGTCCAAATATTGGGGCCCTCTTGGGGCTCTCCTGGAGCTCTTTCTTGGGGCTCGCTTGAGGTCCTCTTAGGGCCTTTTTGGAGCCCTCTTGGGGCTCTTTTGGAGCGTCTTGGGGCCCTCGGGGACTTTGGGGGCCGTCTTGGACCCTTTCGCTAAACAGTAGGAGGGTTTTTATTCCCACTGCCCCCTCGGAGGCTCAGACATGCCGTCTTGGTGCCCTCTGGGCCGCTTTTGTAGCGTTCTTAGGTGCTCGTGGGGCCGTTTTGGGGCCCTCTTGGGCCCCTCTTGGGACTATCTTGGGCCGTCTTGGGGCCATCGTGAGGCGTCAAGAGCCCATCGGAGGCGAAAAAGCGAGAAGGCACATCATCGTTTTTCCTTCGGAGTTGAAGGATTTTGGTCTCTTGGGGGGGACCTCGGAGGGCTCGGGGGGCACTTGGAACCGTTTGGGGGCCGTCTTGAGACCTCTTGGATGCGTGCCGGAGGCGATCTTGAGCCATCTACCGCTATCTTGGGCCATCTTGGAGGCCATCTCGCACTTTCTAAAACCCTCTTGGAACCATCTTGGGCCGAAAAGGACCCTCTGTCACCTCACGGGGAGCCTGTCTAGACGCAGGGAGGGGGGGAGGTAAACCTCCCGAGCAGGGAAAGGAAGGAGGCTGGAAAACGAAACGCTCTACACCACCTGCGCCCAGAGGGCTGGTGGGATTCCACCTTGACCGATCGGGGTCGCGATCGCCTCAGTTGTGAACGATCGACGCGGTGTCAAAAACATTGGCGCGCGCCGACGCCGCACGAACCTACCGTAGCCTTCCAGCTGTGGCAAGGAGCTGGACAGGCGATCCCTCGAGCACCGCGAGATTGCTTTGTGGGTCGGGCGATAACCGGGGTCATCGGGCTTGCCCCCCTCTCCCCCCCCCGGATAACCTAACCTTGCCGGTTGTGCAGGTCCGCGGGAGGCGCGGGCATATGCAGGGCTGCCCACAGCGCGAGGGTTAGGTTAACGGCCGGCCGCCGATTCAGAAGAAACAACAAGCAAAGGTCTCCACCTGGGAGAAGCAGGGACTGGAGGAGGCATGCAGGCGGAGGAGAAGGAGGCAGGCAAGCAGGCAGGGGGAGCCCTCCATCAGGAGGGGCCAGAGGACAACAACACACAGACACAATGAATCGTCGACCCCCAAGGAAATATGGGGAACTATGGGAAGTGGGGGGGGGGGACGAGGAACACCCAGAAAATATGGAAAACTATGGGGGAATCCTGGGAATTTTTGTGGATGTATTTGTGTGTCCCTGGGCCCCTTCACTCCACCCCGCGCCCGCTGGGGCGGTCGACGGCCCCCCTCCGAGGTTGCCTGCTTCCACGCCTGGCAGAGGCCGGCTGCGGCGCCGGCCGCCGCCGCCGCCGTGAGGTGTCATCGGCAGTCGTCCGCGGCCGTCGCAGCCCTTCGCCCCCCTTGCGACCCTGGAGCCCGACCCAGTCCGAGCGCGAGCTCGAAACTCCGAGGTCGAGGTCGTCGGGCGTTCCCGTCGCCTCGCAGAGGTTTTCCAGGCCTCGGGGGTGCGTCCCAGCATCCTGCGCCCCGCCGAGGGCGCTCGCGGCGTTGGCCAGGATCGTGGCGACCGGCCGCCGGAGGGCCGAGGTGTATGGTCCATAAGCGCAAGTCTGCGGCGATGTACGACTTTGTCACTCTGGACGTCTTGCCCCCCTCCTCCGCCTCCTCCTCCTCCACACTTAGTCAATATGAATACTACTCTCCCTCTTCCCCTGATGACGGTTTGAAAGTGCTCGACCCCCCCCCGCGTACTGTTTTGTTGCAGGTCTCCCCGGAGTTGGGTTTTCGCTTGCATTTTTGTTTCCAAATGCTGCTCTCGCTGAGGCACCGGCCTCATTTTCGGGCCCCGCTCGTTCCGAATCGTGCTCCCGCAGCAGCGCTGGCCTCATTTCCGTGCTTCCGCTCGTTCCGAATGGTGCTCCCGCTGCAGCGCTGGCCTCATTTCCGCGCTTCCGCTCGTTTCGACTCGTGCTCCCGCTGCAGCGCTGGCGTCCTTTCCCGTGCCATGCCACGGCATGCAATGCAATGCTAGGTTGATACTACGCTTTGCGGTGCCAGGGATCCTTGCCCTGCTCGACATCCGACTGTGCGAGTAGAGAGGGGATCTACGCCATGGTAAGGGATGGGAGGGAGGGGTAGGATGTCAGATATGACGCGAGCGCACCTAGCTTGTCCTCCTCCCCCTCCCCCTCCCCCTCCTCCCTCCTCCCTCCTCCCAGGCCTACGATGCTTGTCATCGGTCGAACAGGCGTAAAAGTGACCCTTCGCCGGAGTGAACCTCTGGTGTGGGTCCAATGGGGTCCGTCCCCCGATCGCCGAGCGCGATGCGATAGTAGCGTGTGTTTGGTCACCCCGCGACCCCCACAGAGCCGCGCAGCAAAGGTCACTCTTACCCAGGGTCGCTCTTGCGTGTAGCCGAGTCGGACCCCTGGCCCCTGGGTGCCTTCTGGGACCGTGCACTGAACAGGTCGCGTCGTCGGATGCCACGGCTCTTCGCGGCGTTGAGCAGCATCGGCCAACCTCTCCCCGTCCCCACTGGGCCAGCCATGGTATCTCAGCCCCGCCAGCCCACCCTCCTACTGTGTGGGGATCGGCCCCACGAAACCCGAAGGAGCAGGCATACCTGATCTCGGGTCGAGGGTTCCCGTTCTCCTTCCTGCCAGATGGGATGGGCCCCAGAGTTCCACAGACCCCCCTTCCCCCCCCACCCCCAGCAAGGATTGGAGTGGGACGCCGACGCCGACGCCGACGATGACGATGGCGACGACTGCGACGAAGACGACGACGACGAAGACGAAGACGACGAAGACGACGACTGACGACGGGCGACGACGACGACGACGGACGACGCACGACGGACGACGAACCACCCCACGCCCAGAGGGGGAGGGCGGGGGGGTTCACTGGCACCCTCCGCCACGTCACGCCCACAGGGCCACACGACCACAGGAGTGGGGGGGCGATCCCGTTCGCGAGGCCTTCGCGAGGCTCACGGGCGCACCCGTCCAGCTTGGGGGCGGGGGGGCTTGCTCCCGTCTGCACTGGGGGGGAGGGGGATAACAGCCATGGATCATGTATCTCCCCACACGGGTGGGTACAAGGCAGTTTTTAATACATGGGATTTTTTTTAATTTAGATGTTCGATACATGATTAAACTAGGGATACATGTATGCATGAACTCATCGTTGTTTTTAATACTAAATCCCTGCATTTTCAATGCATCATCCGCACGCGGAGCATGTATTAAAACGGCACTGTAAGCCCACCATTTTGGCCAAGGCCCCGCCAGTGGGGACACAGATCGGCGAAACAGTGCTCAGGTAACACCGCCCGCCACAGATGGAAGGCATGTGCGGGTGGGCCACTGGAGGCCTCCGTGGGCCTCTCGAAGAAACGCGATTACGCATTGAGGACGGGCTCCGCTTTCGTGCAAGAGTCGGCCCGCGCCGTCGCCGAATCCATGCGAGCATTGGCGCGCACCTTGGATTACTCCCCCCCGCGCAAACGTGCCAGATCCACGGATATGTGGTCCATGCTGGCGTGGCCCTGGACCGGGGGGGTGCATCTCTGCCCGCCCCGCGACGAGATTGCAGGGGTGCCATTCCGGCACCGGCGCGTGTCGAACGAGAGTCGCAGTGGGGGAGACGCGTCCAACAACGAGTGCATGGCGCAGCGAGAGCGTGCTGCGTTGTCCGCGCAGCACTGCAGCAGCCCCACCAGCGCGGCAGCTAAGCTCTTTTCGTCAGCGCTGCGAGGTGATGTGTTACGGGCCACTCCACTACGGAACGACTCCTTCGTTTCCTCCTCTTCCTCCCTCCTCATCCTTGCTCATCATCCCTCGTCCTTCCCTCCACACTCCTTCCTCCTCGCCCTTTGCGTCCCGTCCTATCCCACCCTACACATCCTCTATCGTCTCCTCCGAGGAAGTGAGACAGCGGGAGGCATCTGCGCGTTGGATCCAGCGAGTTACATGACCCAAAAGAGTACCTCCCAAAACGCATTGCAAGCATCATTGACGTGAAGGCGGAGGACAGGAATGATGGGATGGGGATGCTGACGAGGAAGAGAACCGTAGCAAAACATTCAATGCATTGAAGGCAGCGTGTACTCACGGCTGACGGAGTCGCGTGATGTTTATTGTTCTGGGGATATGGGCGTCAATAGGCCCGCAGTCCAGATTCGAATCCCCCAGATTGCGCAACTTCTAGCCACGATGGGTTCGCATTGGCAGCGAAATAGAGAGTAGAGGTGCAGGTAGACGTTGTTTGTTCAATGCTTGGTGGTCCCCATGGCGTGAGCGTGCCATGGGAGTCATGCGTGAGATGCATTTAACATCGGCGTGTGCATCAGAGCAGCCTTTTGAACATGACGCCCTGTTAGCACATTCGCAAAAAGTGGGGGGCGCGTGCATCTTGAATCGTGTTCAACGCTTTCACGTGACAATTGGAGGGGGGCATCCTTTACCACCGTCCGTCCTTTCTCCCCTTCCCCCATCATTCTCTCATGGATCAGCCGATTGCACTGCGTGCCACCACACTTCACGTATGTGACAGTGGCGTGGTCTCTCTCTCTATATATATATATATATGTACAGATTGCGGAAGCACGAGCGATACATATATATATATGTATATACATATATACAGATATTTTATGTGTGCGCTGGTGGTGGTGCAACGCACGACGTTCTTCCTGGGGCGACGGCCTCATTTGTTTCACGTGAAAACATCAGAAAGAGGAGGTCTACCATCTTTGCTTTTGTAATGGTCGCGCCACGGTGATTGCACTGGACCATCCGAGACGTTTTCATATGATTGGGGCGATCTGGCGAGATTTGCCGCATCAGCTTCTCACGCTTGTTTCTATCATCGAAACCATTCCGAGGTTGCTGGAGATCAAGAACGCCAGATTGAAAGAAGAGGAGCTCCCTTCGTCACATTTGTCACCTTCCGCTGATTCACTGGAAACGTTAACAGAGGCATAGCCATGAGAAGATGTAAGATTAAGATTGCCTCTCCCGCGCGCCCTTTACCAAGAGGCTACTTGGTGTCAGGAACGAACGGGGGAGTTGGCAGGGTGCAGGGGATGGAAGTGGGGTGGTGGCGGCGTGCGGGCGCAACCATTGGGGCATTATGTGGAGATCCAAATTGGGGCAACGAAGCGTGTGAGGGGTGTGCCAAAGTGGTGTAGCGGCGGCATGCGGGCGCAACCATTGGGGCCTAATAGCTCCCTATGGGGCCACGAAGCGTGTGATAGGTGCGCCACAGTGGGGTGGTGGCGGCATGCGGGCGCAACCGCTGGAGCCTTCGGTGGAGCTCCCCACATGGGCTACGAAACTGTGCCAAAGTGGGGTGGTGGGAGAGAGCAGGAGCAGGGGGAGGAGGGGGAGGAAGAGGGAGGGGAGGAAGGACGGGAGCTTGGACGCAGGGCGCCGCTGATTCAACACGAGGACCCAACACCACAGGATGGTTGGGAGAATGCAGCACCCAGATCTCAAGGCGCGCGGCTCGTGAAGAGCCCCGCCGAGGCCCCAGAAGCGCCACGAGGGCCGCCGGAGGTCGCCGGCGGCCACCGAAGGCTGCCTGGCTGCATGGTTCTGACCCCTGAGGGCCTCCGGAGGTCCTCGCGGAGGTCGCGGGGGCTCGTAGATGCCCTCCGAAGCCGCGAGGGCCGGGGAAGGCCGGCGGCGGCCGCCGAGGGCCACCCCCTCGTGCGGCAGGCTCTCTTCGGTGCTGCGGCGGTCCCCGGAGGGGTGCACCTGCCAGAGACTGCGGGGGCGGAGGCACGGTTGCCGCCGCGGGCCCCGAGGGTGCACGAACGGTGCACTTTCCAGGTGCGGAGGAGGAGCAGGTGGTGGAGGAGGAGGAGGAGGAGGAGGAGGAGGAGGAGGAGGAGGAGGAGGAGGAGGATAGGAGGAGGGGAGGAGAGGGAGGAGGAGGAGGAGAGGAGGATAATAAGGGAGGCAGAGAAGAAGGAGGAGAAGGATGAGAAGGAGGAAAGGGGAGGAGGAGGAGGAGGAGGAGGAGGAGGAGGAGTAGGAGGAGGAGGAGGAGGAGGAGGAGGATGACAAGGAGGAGGAGGAGGTGGAGGAGGACGAGGACGAGGACGAGGACGAGGACGAGGACGAGGACGAGGACGAGGACGAGGAGGAGGAGAGAGGAGGGAGGAGGAGGAGGGGGATGGAGGGAGGAGGGAGGAGGAGGAGGACAAGGAGGAGGAGGAGGAGGAGGAGGAGGAGGGAGAAGGGGAGGGAGGAGGGAGGGAGGGAGGGAGGAAGGGAGGGAGGCAGGAGGAGGAGGAGGAGGGATGAATGGAGGGAGGAGGAAGGGAGGGAGGGAGGGAGTGAGGAGGAGGAGGAGGAGGAGTGGAGGAGGAGGAGGAAGAGGAGGAGGAGGAGGATAAGAAGGGAGGCAGAGAAGGAGGAGGAGGGGGAGGAGGAGGAGGAGGAGGAGGAGGAGAAAGGGCAGAAGTAGGAATGGGGGCGAAGGAGGAGGAGGAGGAGGAGGAAGAGGAGGAAGGAGAAGGAGGAGGAGGAGGAGGAGGAGGAGGAGGAGGAAGAGAGAGGAGGAGGAGAAGGAAGGAAGGAGGAGGAGGGATGAGGAGGAGGAGGAGGAGGAGGAGGAGGAGGAGGAGGGAGAAGGACGAGGAGGAGCAGGATGAGGAGGGAGGAGGAGGAGGAGGAGGAGGAGGAGAAGGAGGAGCAGGAGGAGGAGGTCGAGGTCGAGGACGAGGACGAGGGCGAGGACGAGGACGAGGAGGAGGACGAGGAGGAGGAGGATGAGGAGGAGGAGGAGGAGCTCCCCCGCTCCCCCAAAACTTGAAGTTGGCACGCGCGGGGAAGATTGCGGTCGAAGTGCAGCTCCTTCAACCCACCGCCAACATTGATCATGGGAGGGGGCATTGACAGATGAGTGCGGCATGAGGGAGGTTTCACTAGTTTCTTCCGAGGCCTGTAGATCACTTCAGAGCGTTCCAGAGCGCCCTCGGAGCGTCCGCAGCGCTCTGGAGTCCCGAAACGGTGCGGTGACAGACCGTGCGGTGACCTCGAAATCCCCCAAGACTTCACCGCACGGTCCGTCAACGCTCGGTCTTGGGACCTCGGATGCCCCAGTAGCCCGAGACGTCCTCGGAGAACGACCCGATTCCCAAAACCGTGCGGTGACCCCGAGTCTCCACCGACTCACCGCACGGTGTGGTCACCACCCCGTTTGGGGGCCCCCGACTCGGGCCCCCAGCTCCTCCTCGAGGGCCGCCGCATCTCGGAGATGTCCGTTCTGTCCTGGCCTCGTTCTGCAGGGGGACCGGCCGCTCCTGGGGGGGGGGCGGGTTCGCTCCCGGGGGGATGCATCCACCGCCGATCGTCCGTGGTTCGCCGATAGGGGCCCGATAGCCTCCCTCCCGCAACTTGGTTTGTGTCGGAGGTTGATGGACCTCCTGCCCCGACACGTCGATCAGCAAACTGGCCGTTTTCGGTTCGCGAGAGGGCGTCGCGGCCGTCATTTTTGCGGGTCCAGGCCCGTCGGTTCCGGTCCTAGGCCGTTTTCACTCAAGGATGGTTCATGCAAGGGGAGGTTTGTCCACCACCGATTGTAAAGCCGATGCGGCGGCGCTCGCGGTGACTGCTTGTCCATGGCTGGCGCATCTCTGCGGCCGCGCTGGCGCGCGCAGGGCAGCGTCCCAGCGCATGTCAAAAACCGCGCTGGCGCGCGGGCGTTTCAATGCGAGGCCTTGCCACTAGTGGGCGCAGTATCGTGACAACGATAATGACATTAGCGATGGTGGGGCGATGATGCTGCTGATGATGATGGTGATGGTGATGGTGCTGCTGATGCTGATGCTGATGCTGATGCTGATGGTGATTGTGATTGTAATGGTGGTGATAATGATGATGATGATGATGATGATGATGATGATGATGATGCTGATGATGATGATGATGATGAAGAAGGAGTGGTGACGATTGTGATGGTGACGACGGCATGGCCAGTGACGGCGCCTATGCTGGTCCGTCGGCGCCAGTGGCAACGCCCATGATGATGATGTCCATGTGTTGATGGTGAAGGTGGTTGCGTGATAATGGCGGCCATTGTGGCGATTGTCAATGACGATAACGATGACGTGATGTGGCGGCGCTGATGATGGCGATGGTGGGCAAAGTCACTTGCGCAGACATCCAAGAGCATTCGCATGCTATGTTGTAGAAAGGCCTGTGTTGTTTCATACCTTGGTGAAGAGCTATTTCGAAACGCTTCGGGAACCAGTGATTCTGGAACGATGTCGACAGCTTCGCGTTGCGGCGCGCGCGCGTGTGGCCCGCTTGGCAGTATGCGCTACGGATTCGTGCGCTTGGCGCATGGATCTACGCAGATGCACCGCGTGGAGAGATGAGCATTTTGGTTTTGGTCGGGGATGCTAAGAATGCTAAGCTAAACCCGTATGGTTTTCCACGATGTCAGCACGTGCGCGCGGGCAGGAACTGTACAAACGCCTTGACGTAGCATCCCAGGTAGCATCCCAGGCGCGCGTGTACGTTGCGTGCCGTTTTGTGCAAGGGACTTATGAGACATTTTTTGTGCACGGGGGAGCTATACCTGGCCTGTTTGGGATGGTATAAGTTTCTTTGGGAAATGGTGGAAGAGCCAGACTCACATGTAATTGTCGGTGTCCGGGTGCCGATAAGCTTGAGGGGGGAGAAGACGATAGAATTTATGTAGTTCTCTTGGGTGGGAGAGCTTACGTTCGGATGCAACTCCTGGGAGGTCAAATTCTGATTTAGTCCTGGTCCGAAATCCCGCTTAATCCGGCTTAATCCCGCTGAATCCCGCCTAATCCCGCTTGATCCGAGGCCCTCTCTGGCGTAACAGCCCCCCAATGGGGCTTTATCCTCCTGAATCCTTCCGACGAAAACATCCCAGTGTTTGCCTCCCCGAGCGAGAGACTGGGGATGTCTCGAGCGAGAGGGGGGACCACACCATCAGGTAGACCCCCCTTGCCTCCGCGCATCTCCTCGCCCTGTTGGCGGTGGTGCCGCCTTTCCTTGTCCCTAAACTTACGCGGCGTAAGCTCGCGGCGGCCACGAGGCGGCCGCCGGCGGGAACGTGGCACAGCTTCGCCGGACCCACCCAGGCACGAGGCGGCCACGGGCGGGCAACGCGGCGAAACTTCGCTGGCCCGCCCGGTGTCACGGCGGCCGCGAGGCGGCCACGAACGGCAACGTGGAGCGTCCTTGCCGGACCTGGCCAGATCCATAACAGGAGAGGTAAGAGCGCCTCGGTGTCAGCATCCATACAGGAATCCAGGCATGGACGTACGCACATCTTCCCGCTCCCTCTACTTTTCCTCTCTCCCCAGACTCCCGACGCTATGTTTTTGTTCAACACATGGACCCCCAAAAGTCTGGACCCCCTCCCGAGGCCTGCTGGGGGCTGTTTGAAGCCAAAGAAAAGAACAACGGTCCGTCGTCGTGTTTTGTCCACGACGCGAGGGGGTCTGGGTCCCTTCCCTCCTCCTGGGTCGGGGTGGCCCAGCGAGCACTGGTTAAGTCGGGCATGTCCCTCTACAGGAGGAATGCTCAAACACAGTCAACACATAGTCTGGGGACGCTTTTGGAGCATTTTTTGGCTATGCTTGGGTATTCCTTGTGCATTTGAAGTTGTCGCCCAACTGTAGGGGGACATGCCCGACCTAAAGCAAAGGGGGGGGGCGGCCGAACGCACGCCGCGCGCCGGGTGCGCACAGGAGGTGTTCAAGCGGCAGGCCAAGGATCCCCGCGTGCCTCCCGCCAAGCGGGGCCGCCGTGCTCGGCTCACGGGGAGCGGCGTGGGGGGCGTCAGCGTCCCGAGTTTCTTGCGCCGGGCGGTTCTGCAAGGGCTTCGGTCCACGTTGCCGTCCTGCCACTCGGGTCATTGATAACCTGTATGTGCCAATGTCAAGGCCAGATGCAGCCCACTTCCTGTTTAAGCTAAGGTTGAGGCCAGATGTAACCCACGTTTGGCTTCCACTGGAATCGGCGCGGGGGTTGTCAGCGTCCCGAATTTCTCGAGCCAGGCGGTTTTGCAAGGGCTTCGGGCCACGTTACCATCCTGCCATTTTGGTCATTGCATCAAGGGAGGAAAAAATCACCCAGACCGGACAATCGACGTTTACTAAACAGCCTTGGGCACAGCCCTGGGCATTTATTAAACAGCCCTGCCCTGTTCAATTCCTTCTTTTGGCGCTTTACTAAACAACTTCACGTGTCGTGGTGGTTATCGTGGGGGTGGATTGTTGGACCTTTACTGTAACCCCTGTATTTACCAGATGTAACCCACTTTGGGCTTTCACTGGTACTCCCCCGATGATTAAGTCGGGCACGTCCCTCTACAGGAGGAATATCCAAGCATAGCCAAGAAAATAGTATGGGGACGATGTTTGAGCATGTTTTAACTATTTTGGTACATGTTTGGTGTAATTGTTGTTTTTCGTCCAAAATCCGCCTGTAGGGGGGCATGCCCGACCTAAGGTTGAGGCCAGATGTAACCCACTTTAGGCTTCCACCGGTACTGCCACCTATGAGCGCGCCGAGAACAGCGTGCCCGGTCCAGGGTCACCCCAGGACCCGCGGGTCTGCCGATCTAGGGCTTGGATTATGATGTTCCAACCTACTCTAGCCTTGATCACGATGAAGAATTTCGAGCACCAAGAAAGTACCGAACTCGGAGGGTTTTCACGTGTCGGGCCCTGGGTCACCCCAGGACCCGCGCGTCTTCCGATCGAGGTTCTAGGATTGTGATGCTCCAACCTACTCTAGCCTTGATCACGATAAAGAGTTTCGAGCACCAAGCAAGCACCGAGATCGGAGGGTTTTCACGTGTCGGGCGGGCCCTGGGAGACGCTCGTCCGACACTGTTTCGGCACTGTTTCAACACGTTTCCGGGTGCTCGACATTGCTTCCGGGAGCAGCATCATTCTAGGATCGAGGATGCAAGCTTTGGGGCGTTTCTCTCCGCCCTTCTTTGGGCCACGGCTGGATTCGACTCGAAAAGCTTGGATCCGAGCGCGTTCCTGAAGAGGTCTGGCGGTGGAGCCTGGGCCCCCTGACCAGACCCCCCTCGCGCTGCGAACACAAGCACAGTGGAGGAGGAGGAGGAGGAGGGGGAGGAGGAGGAGGAGGAGGAGGAGGAGGAGGAGGAGGAGGAGGAGGAGGAGGAGGGAGGAGGAGGAGGAGGAGGAGGAGGAGGAGGAGGAGGAGGAGGAGGTCGAGGTCGAGGACGAGGACGAGGGCGAGGACGAGGACGAGGAGGAGGAGGAGGAGGAGGAGGAGGAGGAGGAGGAGGATGGCTTCCGAGGGGCTCCTGCCTGGTGCTTGGCCTCAGGACCATCAAAATAGCATCCTGGACGAAGAAGCCGGCCCCCGGGAGGGAGTCCTGACCTTCAGCGTTCTTTTTTTGTCGCAGCCGCAAGCGAAAGCGCAGGCGGGGTCAGACTGAACGGGTGGGCCGCGCGCGAACCCAATTGCCTGACGCGCCAGCAAACAGAGGCCCAGGCGGCACCTCAGATCACCGGAAGCGGGAGGTGGTGCGGGCTGCAGCTGCCAGGAACCAGGTCCAGGAGCGACCTCCAGCGTTCCACGTTACGAGACAATCGTGCCGCCGGGGTCTGGGGATGGAGCGGGCCTTCACGGCAGGCTCGGAAGGCCTCCGGCCTTGGAGGTGTTTCTTAGTCCTCCTCCGAAGCCACTGGCGGCTTCTCGGAAGGCCCGAAGGCGTCTGAGAAGCCCCGCCACCTGAGAAGCCAGGCCTCCTCTGCCGCCTTCCTCCCCCGGCACTTGGCCGAGTACCGTAGTCCAGGGCGAATGGGAGCCAATCCCTTCCGGCTGGCCCAGCTTTGGGAGCCGCGTGGAGCCGATGCTCGCTTTTCCGCCATCCGCTTTTCCCGGCTCTCTCGTGCCCCCCCCCCTCCGACCACCTCGGCCAGACCGTGATCATTGATCGATCGTGGGTGCCCCGGGTTTCGGATCCTGATCGGCCTCGCGAAGTGCTGGCCGCTCGTTCCCCGATGGTGCTGGTCGGTCTTTTTGGTGTTGTCGGCATATCGTTTCGTTGGTACTGATCTCTCTCTCTATCGTGCGACGCGTCAGAGTCGTGGCGCGCCACACCTAGAACCTGCTCACCTATGTACCCTCCTCCACTCCTTCCCTTGACCCTCTCCTCCCTGGCCATCACCATGATAGTCCCTCCTCCCGACCCTTCTCTCTTTCCTCGCCCCTAGCCTCTTCCCTTCTCCATCTGCTATTCTACCTTCCCCCGCACCTACCTGCTTATCATCAATCATCATTATCAGCAGCAGCATCCTCAGCATCAGCATCATCATCATCAGCAGCAACATCGTCATCATCATCAGCATCATCAGCATCATAATCAGCAGCATCATCATCATCCATCATGATTGCCGTCATCATCACCATCATCGTTAGCACCATTACCGTTGAGTTTACCATTGCCCTCACCATTCTCATAATCACCCTCACCATCAGCATCATCATCACCACTATCATTCGCCTTGCCCTCCTCCTTCTCCTCATGATCCTCCTCCTCATCCTCATTATCCTCATCATCACGGCCATCCTCATCAGCATCATCACCACCACCATCATCATCCTCACCCTCTTCCTCCTCATCATCCCTTCTGCTTCTCTTTCGCAGTATCCGTCCCTCCCCCTCGTCCGTCCTCCGTCCCTCCCTCCGCGCCCTCCCTCCTCCAGTCCTCCCTTCTTGCTCGCCTCTCCACTCTCCCCCCCCGCCCGCCTTCCTCCCCCCCCCTCCCTCCTTCCCCACCCCCCCCGTCGTTATCTGACCGCTGTCTGGGGCGAATCGGGTCGCAATTCCAAATTCCCCACCCCCTCGCCCTGCTTCTTCCTCCCGCAGGAGGCCGAACAGGTGAAGAAGGAGCTGCAGAAGTCGTGGGCGCGCCCACCGCGCGCGCTCCTGCAGCGCGCGGCGCTCTCGCCTCCCGTCCCCGCAGCTCCGCGCCCGCCCTTCCCCGCCCCGCGCTCAACGCACGGGAGGGAAGGGGGAGAAGGGGGGAGGGGAAGGGGGCGGGGGGGGCAGGAGGAGGGATGCGGGCGGGAGGAACGGGGGCGATGTGAGGGGAGAGACAGGGGGGATGTGTGAGGGAGAGGGAGGAGGGTGGGGGGTGGGGGGAGCGGGGTGAGGAGGGGGCAGAGGATAGGGGGTTAGCAGGAGGAGGAGGAGGAGGAGGACCAGTGTAAACCCGGGACTCATAAACGATGTTTGGCTACACCCTCCCTGCACGCTCCCTCTTCGCAGGCTCCAACCAGGGTTCGTTTACACTTGGGGAAACGCCCCGTCCGGGGACAGGCGCATGAACATCTGGAAGCGTGCCAAAACACCATTCTCAGGATTTCAACGCCACGAGCTAACCTGACTTTTGCGTCATGGCGATTCCGAATCGTGCCAGAATATCGTTCCTGGGACTTCAGCACATCGCGAATCAACGTGACCTTCTCGCCTGAACAATCTGGGATCGTTCCAGAACGCCATTTCTGCGACGTTAACCATGCGAAAAAGTGAACCTCGTGCAATTTGAGTAAACGAATGTGCGCTAAGGCGAGAGCCACATTCAACAAACAACGCAGCCGCCCTCAATCCGTGAAGCTTTTGCACTGTTCATCGAATGTGCGCGGCGCCAAGGCGATAGCCACAGTGTGAAACGACCGCCCGTCATCCGCGAAGCTCTTTGCAACAGTGTAAAACGAATGTGCGCGTCGCTTAGGCGAGAGCCACGGTTTGAAAGCCACCCGCCCTCAGTCCGTGCGCGTCGAGCCCAAGGCTTGCGAACTTGCTATATGAATGTGCGCGTCGCTACGGCGAGAGCCACAGTTTGGAAACGACCTACTTTCGATCCGTGAAGCCTTTGTATGCTTAAACACGGATGTGCACGGCGCTAAGGCGAAAGCAACATTCTGAAACCAGCCGCCCTCCATATGTGAAATTGTTGCCCGTTTTTGAAGCTTCTGGCTCATAAATTGTATAGAACCCTCATGCGAATCGCCCAGCCCACCCTTCGGACTGGCCTCGGGGTGGGGAGGAGGGAAGAGGAGAGACAAGGGGGAGGGGGAGGAGGAGGAGGGAAAGAGAAGGAGAAGGAGGAGGGAAAGAGAAGGAGGAAGAGAGATTGATGTCCGGAGGTGGGAGCAACGGAGAGGGAAGATTGAGAGTCTGTCGTGTGTTACACGGGGCTGCGCGGGGGTATGGAAGGGTAGAGGAGGTTCTCGTAAGAGGAGTGTTTCGGTGGGGGACGGTTATGGAGGCGCTTTCCCATTTCACTTTTAGCTTCATCGTTCTGATCCTCCCGGCCCTCACCCTCATCGCCGTGCCCACCATCCTCAGCCCCGCCGTGGGGCTGTTGTCAGTTGACGACGCCGCCACTACGAGGCGAGGCGTGCCCATTACTTTTATTTTGGACTCGACCGCTTCACCATCGAAATTGTAAACTTGCCCGTTGATCCCACGCAGGTGTCACTCGTTCGATCGTCGGCGTGGTTTGGAAGCTCGGCACTCTAGAGACGGTGATGTAATGCTACCCACCCCGTCATCATCCCCCTACCCTCCTCATTCCTCATCTCCCCCTCACCATGTCCCTGGGTATCGTCGTCATCTCCTGGGCCTCTTGCACATCCTTTTCCCTATCCTTTTCCACTTCCTGATCATTTATCCTGCGCCTCACACCTCCTCGCCATCATGCTCTTGCTACTTTCCCTCATCCCACCACATCGCCACCTTCACCCTTGCATCCCACACTGCTTGTCAGCACTATGTCCCTCATTGTCCTCCTCTCCACCCTCACATTCCTCCCCGCCTCCCCTCCTACCCCTTTCTCATCGGCGCGCTCAACCACCTCGTCCTATCCCTCACACTTACGGGGCTCGAGCTAAACTGGGTGCCGGCGATGTCGTAGACCGTTTCTATTCGAATGCCGTGGTGCAGCGACGCCGGAGCGGAGGCAACAGGAGGGACAGCGACACCAAAACGAGCACGAAACACACCGTGCAGGTCGAGCCCTGCATCCTCAACTCCGCTCGCCCTCGCCGTCGTCAGCCTCCCAGGCGCCTCGTCCTCCTATTCGTCCCCGCCTCCCACGGTGCGGGATGGCCGAAGCGGATGGCGCACAAGGGTCGGGGGGGTCGGGCAGGGCTTGGCGCACAGTGTCGACCAGTGGTGGGGGGCTACTGGGATCGGGGGGTTGCTGAGGGCATGCAGTCGGACCGAGGTATGTCAGGAGAGGAAAAAACACACATACACAATTAATCCACGATTCTTCCGAAAATATGGGAAACTATGGGAAGTGTGGGGGAAGACAAAAACTCAGAACATATGAGAAAATATAGGGAATCCTTTTATTTGTGTGTATTTATCCGTAAGGGCTTCGCCCCCTGCCGCCGGCCCCCTCTCTCGGAGAATGGGCCATGGAAGAGCTAAGTCATGAGGCTTTGGCGCTGTCGTGCAGCAGTATCGGAACTTCATGCGAGGCCGATTCGCAATCGTCAAAACCAACTAACTGATCACAAGAGGGGTTACCACACAGGGCGATTGGTAAGACGTGTATGGTTTACGAGCTTGGTTACCACACCTTGGGATTAAAGGGCCGAGGGAGTACTCGCAGTTTGGGTTACCACGCCTTGCGATGGATGTGCGTGAGGGGTGGCACCGAATTTCAGAAATGTAGCAAATCCCCTGTGTTTTTGGACCCTGACCCTGCGGGTCTGCGTGAGGGGTGACACAGAATTTCAGACATGTAGAACATCCCCTGTGTTTTTGGACCCTGACCCCGCGGATCTGCGTGAGGGGTGGCACCGAATTTCAGAAATGTAGCAAATCCCTTATGTTTTTGGACCCTGACCCCGCGGATCTGCGTGAGGGGTGGCACCGAATTTCAGAAATGTGGCAAATCCTTATGTTTTTTGGACCCTGACCCCGCGGATCTGCGTGAGGGGTGGCACCGAATTTCAGAATGTGCACATCCCCTGTGTTTTTGGACCCTGACCCCGCGGATCTGCGTGAGGGGTGGCACCGAATTTCAGAAATGTGGCAAATCCCTTATGTTTTTGGACCCTGACCCCGCGGATCTGCGTGAGGGGTGGCACCGAATTTCAGAAATGTGGCAAATCCCTGTGTTTTTGGACCCTGACCCCGCGGATCTGCGTGAGGGGTGGCACCGAATTTCAGAAATGTGGCAAATCCCTTGTGTTTTTGGACCCTGACCCCGCGGATCTGCGTGAGGGGTGTCGATTTCGAGAGGGGTGCCAATCAACTAGTTACAGTAACCAGCAATATGTCAACTAGTTACAGTAACCAGCAAGAAGCAGAACTGTAACATTGAACAGACTGGTAAGGAAACTGCGAATCACGGGCCTACAGCCCGTCCTAGTATCAGTAACGGCTGCCCAGCTCACAAATGTGCGGCTGCGATTGGGTCAAATATCCCATTTGGGGCATTGGTATGAGCTAGGTCAGATCACATATAGTCGGCCTTGGCATCCACTGATCGCACCCCCCTATCCCCTTAGCACCCCCGCGCCAATCCCAATAGCGTCGGGAAACTAGTACGGGACTCGGGATCTCCTCGCATTGCTTCAGACTCGAAGGACTAGCGTGTTTACCATTGTCTGGGACATTGGGGGGCGTGCAGATGAATGAATTGGCGGGTTGTGGGAGATCGGTCTCATCAATATTTCACGGTATCTCTCTGAAGATGTCTGGTCTGCAAAAATTTCGCCACATGCAGAGTGTGGTTGAGGCTTTTCTCGCTTTCGGCAGCTTCGCTCTCCGCGATCTCGCCGACCAGCGATTCTGGTGCGTCGGTCCGTTGCAGCCTCGGGAGGCTGACGACCAGGCTGCTCCAGCCCCACCTGCGCCGACGAAGCTGGAGATGTGGAGGTGTCCTGTCCCGAGGTTGTCATTCATCTGCGTGTGATCGAGGACTTGGCTCGTCGTCTCAAAGGTGAGAGGCGCGCGTGTGGGGTACGGGGTGATCGCCTGGAGTGCGACCCGAAGGTCGTGTTGGTCTGTGTGTTGTGCGCTCTTTGGTCGCAGGTATTATTGCGGATCCTTCTGTTTTGCAGGTTGCTGCCCATGTTACCTTCGAGATGGCCTTCGTTCTCTTCCAAGCGGTGCACGTGGGGGCCATAGGGGGCGTTTTTGGCTGCACCAGTTATGACAGAAACTGGTTCCACGTTTTATCGTGGCGATCAGATACGTGCGGGGAGAGAGGATCTGTATCATGAGCGCGTCGTTCTGGGACCAGGCCCTCGAGACGCCCGGGGCCGAGTGAGCGAGGGGGCGGTCCTCACTCCTGATCATGAGTAGTACCTGGTGCATAAATCTATGGAGGCCAACGAGGGCGAGTGCCTGGTGATTTTGGATGACATTGGCAGCTGCCCGGCGATGCTGAGAAGCCGCTTCTACCGTTTCTCGGGAGATCCGAACCCGGCCAGCAACGAAATGTGCAGTTCGGTACAAGAGCTGGTGGCCATGGTTTTGGGCCGCTGTCGAGGAGTTTCCTGGGTGACATACCAAGTGGACGCCACTGGTGTTCTGACGCTGCTGACTGGACTAACGCTGCGGTTTCGTCGCGGGGCCCCGCCTGCGCTGGCTGCGCGCAGCGCCGTTCAGCCTGCCTCGGTAGCCTTGGGCGTCCCGCCCGCTGCTGCAGGTGGCGCGGCTGCTGGGCAGCCGTCGGAGGTGCTGCGGCCGTTCCTGTGGTTGCTGGCGTGGCGGCCTCACCTCCGCCCTACCTGGCGGCGATGGCGGTGCGGGCCCCGCCGTGCGGCGACTGGGCATGGCTGGTGTGCGAAATTGCTGGGCATGGAAATGCTGGGATGGAGGTCGCGTTGGCGGCAGGCAGCGTCGCGGTCACGACGGACAGCGGCTACGGTTCTTGTTGCGAGCGCGAGCCGTGCCCAGCGGTTGGTGTCTCGACTTCGTGCAGAGATGGTAGATCAGGTCTGCCAAGATGGCGGCGCCGTTAAGGCGTGGTGGCGCTCGGGTCGCATGATGCACCTCGCGGCGCCGTCGGCGATGACGTCAGGACGACGCTGGTTGTCTATGATGGGGTCGGCCGACGGTTCAAGCATATGAAGAAGGCGGCGCAGGAGAGTTGCGAGGAGCCGATCACCGCCGTCGAAGACCGCGAGCCTCCAGGAGCCTTGCATTGCGGCTGCCACATGGAGCGGCATGGCGGCGACCCACGCAAGTGGGGGCAGGATTATTACGAAGTCATGCAAGGTCAGCGAGACGGACAGGGTCAATCATGAGATGACGACCTTCACGGGGACTCTGAAGTTGCTCGAGGAGTACGATCAGATCAACGCGGGCGCGCTGGCTGGCAATGAGAAGATCGCCCGCCACATGCTCGGGTTTATGGATGCGTGCTCCTCGGGTATGATTTTCCCGAGCTGGGGGATGGCGAGCGTCGAGGAGGGCGAGGTCAACCCGCGCCATCGCCCCCGCGCTGCGAAAGTGGGGGGCCAGTTTGTTGAGCGGCCAGAATGAGGTGGAGCATGCTCTTTCTCGCCAGCCATTGCCCACGGTTGGCGCCGCCGGTGCAAGCACCGCTGGCGCGGGGGCTGGAGGCCGGGGCGACCGCGGTCGAGCCCGCGGGGCAGGTGGGCGGGGGTGGCAGCGCCGCCCCAGGTGACAAGTAAGCCAGGTAACGGGCCACGGTTGGACCCTCCGCGCTGCGCTTTCTGACCAGTGCCCAGTCCCGCTACCAGTTCACGAGGCTCCACCGAGGTCGGGAGGTCGGCTCTCGACGAGGTTCCGTCTTCGCGCGGTACCTTGTCGATGGGGGGTCCAATCCAGAAGGCGAATGAACGGCGGCTGGTGGCCATCGCCTGCCTGAACCTCGCGCGCGGCGCCGAGCACCCTCGGCGCGGAGTCGGGGCCCGGATCTCGGCGGCACGGCGCGCCGCGCAGAGGAAACGTCGTCGCGCCCGCCGTTGGGGAGCCGACGAGACGAGGCACGCCGTTGAGGAGGCGGCAGAGCTACGGTTTCGCGGCGGCGCGCGCGGGCCCAGCTTGCCAACGGAAGTAGCCCTGCGGAAGTTCGTCTGTGACGTGGCGCCCGGCTACAGGATGCGCGCTTGCCCGCCCGCGCCCGCGTCGCGCCGGCGCGGCCAGGCCCCCCTGCCTGAGGGCCAGGGCGCGGCCCCGAGGGACCTCGACCTGGCGGGGGGCCGTTGTCAATCTGATTTGGGGGGCTCAGGGGGGCGCGCGTTCGGCCCCGCTGCAAACGAACAAAATGCCGACGACGCTGTGCGACGCCGCGAGGGCCCCTGCCCGCCAACGCGCCGAAGTTTTACACCCGCTTCGCGCGCGGCCTCGCCGTCAGGAACGCGCTGGCCTTCGGCGCGAAGACGCGAGCGAACGAGCGCGCGCGTGGGTGCGCGTTTTTCTTGTACGACAGACGAACGGCGTGCTTCGGTTCACTCTCGAATGCGAGGCGCGCGATTCGGCGGGCCGCGCCGCCGCTTCGCGCCGACTTTCTGACGGCCCTCACCTCGACGAGTCGCGCTCGGAGAGGGGAGCTGCCCTCGGCGCTGCGTGCTCCTCCGGCAGCGAGGCGCCGGGCCCTCCTGGCCTCGGCGAGGCTCGCGGTCGCGCTGACCTCGAGCTAGATCCTTCCGTCGAAGTGCTTGGGCCATGCTGGGGAGCCCAGCCGCTGGAACATCGTCGGCGGCAGGAAGTTCACCGAGGTAGAGGGCGCCCTGGCGCTCGAGGCCTGGGCCCTGCTGCGGCCGCTGGAGCGCGTCGCTCATTCGCGTGTTGGCCGTGTGTCACGTCGAGTTCTGATGTCTGATATTCTGGGCCCCGCGCCGTCAGTGGGCCGATTGAGGCGTCGCAATACCAGGGCCCCCGTCGCCTTGGGGAGCTCGGCCGCGCGGTGTCTCAGCCGAAGCGCGCCTGGCCGCGCGGCAGGCTCCGCCGGGAAAGGGACGATGACCACCCCCGTCGCTTGAAGCGCGCCCCCTCCCACGACGCGTCTCGCAATGTAGGTTCAGACCCCGTCCTGGCGGAGCGTCGCATTCCCGGCGCGAAGTGCGATCGCTGCAACGTTTGCTTCTCTTGCGGGAGCTCCGATGGGATGGCTGCGCCCTCGCCGCCCGGGGGTCGCCCCCTTGCGCCCCTGCCCTTCTGGCCCCCCGCATAAGGGCGAGCCCGGCCTGGCGCTCATGGGCGAGGCGGCCTCGCAGGGCGGCCGCCGCGACCGGGGCCTGCCCTGCATTTGTGCGCCTCGCCCAGCCTCTGCCGCCGCTCTCGCGCAGGGTGATGCCGAGCCAGCAGCCGAGAGCGCCCTGTCCGCGACGAGCCCGCGCCGTGGTCCCGACCAGGCGTCGGGGCGACGCCGCCGGCCTGGCTGGGCCCGCGAGGAAGCG